GTACAAAGATACTCGCTAAACTGCCCCACTTGAGCGTGACGGAGGGAAAGCCAGGGCAGCGCTTCACTCAGCCGCAAATGAGCACGGTTTAACGCGTTGGTGTCGACACAGCGAAAACATCGTGAGCAGGCACGAGCGTTGCGTGACATAAATCGTGACATGTTCACAGACGCGAACAAAATTATGTCATCCGAGGTGATAACTCAATACGGCAGCACTAAACAGCATCGCGACAATTTGTCATGAATGCATCGAGCATGGACCCGGCCGAGTAAGTAGCTGACGTCACGCACTGGGGGTATGAATGACGGGCATAACATCACGCAGCGCCCGCTTGGCAGGATTTGAGCCAGGCTTGAGCCGGAAGCAACTCAAATCGTCACCTTTAAACATTTTGACTTTGTGAAGCTTCGTCAACGCAGCTGCCTACCGCCTAGGCAGTGGATGGCATGCAACTGATTGGTGTTGATTGGTGCTGATAATAGTGATAGCAAAACAAAAGTAACTTGTTGGTAATGGATGGAACTGCGCACAGCTACTATCATGTACGTATATAAATTGTGATATGATCTATGATTTAACGGCCAATGAACAATTACTTGATTAATGACTGAATTCAAGAACACTATCTAAAGATGATTATCCCGGTGCGTGCCTGATAATACGGCTGAGAGGACTCCAATAACCCGAAAACGCAGAGCGTAGCGTGAAGTTTTCCAGCCTTCTAAAGTCATAGAATGACCCTACGTTTTTGGAACTTGAGAGCTTTATCCTCTCATATCAACCTACGGTACCTCACTAGCTGAGCAAATGGCTCAAAAATATCCATTTTGCACTTCACGTTGGCATGTGTCAGTTAAGTACCTCACCTTGCACTCTAGCAAGCCAACCACCGAAACACCCCAGGGAGCGTCAACGAATCCGTCTGCAAATTGGGTATCTTTAAACTTCCGAATCGGTTTTAGTCCAGAAAGGAATTGACTCCGGAATCGGGTTTGATTTAGCTGTAACCAATCACATGTCTGCCAGTAAGCCGGGAATAGTGATTTGCAAAGCATAGCTGTTACGTTGTAGCAGAGCTGCTAGCTGTAGTCAAGTATGTGCTGAGGGGCATCCTCCTTTGTACATGGCCTTTATGGAGCTGTCTTGATGCCGGTTGATCAAATGATCAATAAATCAATGGCAAATTCCACGCCGCCTTTCCCTCCAGCTTACATGAGGTGTTCAGTGTGCTTACAGAACTGGGCTCTTACTTGGTCGCCAGCCTTTGCTTTTTCGGACCTGGAGCTGCGCCGCTGCGGTAACCAAAACTGCAGGCGCGATCTGGCGGTAGGCATCTGCAGGGAGTACCGTACAGTAGCCTGCTAAAGTTATCTCTAAAGGTGTTAGAGAAAGCCATAGCAATCCAATCATGTTTAGACCCAATTCCATTCTCATAATATCTTAACTGCCTGCTCAGCATCTATAGATTATCTTCACATTGAAGTGTATGCGGAGATTTCGCATTGCCTTCAGTCGTCGGCCACCTCATTTTAATGAGAGCTCACAGAAGTGTGTGTGAAATAGCATCCATGGGCTCTCCAAAACCTCTCCACAGTTTTGGATGGAAGCAACAGCTGGCGCGTCGTCGTGAAGATCGTCGCATGATGTACCAGCAGTCGGTGGACCTCCGCAGTTGTCGTGTACTGAGTGGACGGCAATCGTAACCTCACTTTGTGGCTGAGGAGTGGGATCCACGCCGAGCTTAAAGACTCCACGGGGCAACTCAACAGCAGCCAACCAAAGCCCTGAACAAGCACAGCGAGGGACTCCGCTACGGGTCAAGGGTGGAGGCAAATGTGATTTGTTGACGTTTATTTCCACACAACTCGTAATGCTTTCGCTATGATGAACACTGGCGCTCGTTGGTGAGCTTCTTTCAATTTTTTATTCTCGGTCATCGAAAACCTTCGGCTTAGCCACCTGTGTTTCCGGCAGCTCTAAGCACAGCCATGCGAAATAGGCATGAGGGCGTGAGGGCCCGCTTGGGTGAGATGTTCGTGTTGTTCGTGCCATGTTTAGTTTGTGGTAAGTAATTTCCTAGCCGTATGCTCGGTATGGGTCGATGTAAACTTCCGGCTTAGACACCCATGTTTCTTTCAATCGTAGTCGTAGTGTAGTTTGTGGCGTAGAACCGTCTATCCTGTGTTAGGATGTGAGAGCTCATCTTGGAATATGTTTGATAACAGTGTCTGTGCAGATTTGGAGTAGCTGCTTTGCTTTACGCGCTTAGTTTTGAAATGCTGTTTTTGGTGGGTTCGATTGAACTTTGCTCTCTCGTGACTTTGAACACAGTTTCGAGGCGTAGAGTTTCCTCATTGTTACCCAAGCTCGCTTGACGAAATCATTTAACCTGCACCTTCTGGCATTGTCGCAAGCTTACTTTTTCAACATAAGGACTCACGCACCATAACAGTTCTTAGCGATTATAGGACGGACAGGTGGTTTTTGAGCGTGTCAGCACTTTGTCTTGAGCTTGAAGTTCAGTGGCATTTTGAGTTTGAGCATTGTGGCACACACCTTTTAGATGGTCCCGCCAATCGGATTCGCCAGATTTCCGGTACTCTGTATAATCTACTTTATCTCGCTTGCGATCGCAGCATTCCATGCAACTGAATCATGCATGGTAGAATCCAGCAGAATTATGATGAGCTGGAATAGTACTTATTGCCCACATCCTGGCCGTAATCTTTGCACTCATTTTCCGTCAATGAAAGTCAGCCAAAGGGACTTGATAGCTGTGTTGCGTAGCAGATTTGCAATTACACACATACCGTTCTTTCAACTAGGAAAAGCTGTTCCGTCAAAATAGCTGTATTCTTCTCATAGTTTCCGCGCGAGGCGTGTTATAAAGCCACAGGCCTGGTCGGACGTGAGCTGCCGGCAAAGTAACGCTTTCGCTAGGGGACGGATTGTGATGTTTGCTGAGGAAAAGGGATTTGATGGTCACTGGTGGGGACCCCCCCCCCCCCCTTCTCCGTAGTTAGCATGTTACAATAGGTCAGGCAGTGCCAGGCTTTCGTTGAGAAGAGCGACTTCACTTTCTAGTCCATTAGTGTATTGGCGTGTAAGTACGATTTTTGTTAGTTATCGCAGTGTTCTGGGGAAGAGTCCCCCACCTGAAGGCAAGTTACAGGACGCGTCTTCCTTTGAAGCCTTCTCCACTGAAACAAGGGTACGATAAAAGATATTGGACGGGCACCTAACGCATGCAGCTGAACTAACATCAGGGCAGCTCTCCATACGTGCGGCGTACCGACAGCTCCTGAGGCTGCCACACCACTGAGAGCAGCCGTCAGCCTCTGTGGCTTAACGACCATCCGTTCAGCCATTTCCTGGTCAAGATCGGCGATCGCCGGTGGAAATTCGCCATGTTGTTATGTGTGAAGGACCTGGGGAACTTCGTACTGCTGATCAAGGATTCTCCATGGCCTCCCGAATCGTAGATGATCAGGTTCGACGTTGTTAGTCCGTCAACCAGTGCATTATTAGATGGGACTTTAGTGGTGGTAAATAACGAGCAAGAAAATGACGTCATATTATCGGAAAAAGCTTATTCTTAGAGACAACAGCATGGAACAACATCGCGCGAAAAACATTAGCGCGGATGCCGCAACCAGAGTTGGGAAATGGGTCACCGAAAGGGGTCACTGGAAAGGAGGTTCCCGATGACTCCAGGAAGCCAAAGTCAAGAAACAAACACATGCAGCTCTGAACTCTGAGAGAAGGTTTGGGGAGTAGATGTGAATGTTACAACATTAGAAGCGTCTTTAGGAGCCAAAGATGTTGCACAAACTCCGTTTAAACTCGAAACAAGTGCTGCGTGCGTAACATTTCTGGTATTGATGGAAGGTTGTGTAGGGTAAAAGCGGATCGCCCATTGGCGGGCAAATTGCAGACGCATGGAAAGGCAATCATCTGGTGCGAAACATATGCATTTGGTATGACGAAATGCGTGTGGTTGGAAGGATATCAGCAGCCAGCGTGGAACGATGTAACCACCATCGATAGGAAGCTTAAAGCTCAAGGAACCGGCACATAACGTATTGTCTCTCAACCCCGCCACCAAACCTAGTTCATACATTACCCCAGTGTGGCTGCATGTGTCATGAAACTTCTCTTCGTTCGAAGGACGATGTCAGTAACTTCCAGCATATCGGCTGGGTCAGCCTCCTCGATAGTTAGGGAAGGGTGCCAATGCCAAGTCTGAGGATGCAGAGTACAGAAGATCCTCGGAAATGTCCTTATTGGCTACTGCCCTGGCGATTTTTTAGACGCCGGCGACCAGCTATTTATAGTTGACTGGTAAACCCGAGACTTGTCAGATAAACTGGCACTCTCTAAGTGAGCCGACACGGTGCGTCATGATACTAACTTGAAGGGCAGTGGGATATCAAACTCCAGAACAAAGAGCCTTCTCCGTTTCATGACTCAAGTCTTCCAGCCTCGTGACGCGGCTGACCAGACCGATGCCATCGTTTTGACACAGATGCGGCAGTGCGTGTAACAACAGAGGAAGGATGTCGGCGTTATCTGCCGTGCCGGGGCGGAAGGCGCGGTCGTGCCGTTGTGCCCTGACGCCCGGCGGGGGGGGGGGGGTCGGCGCTCCTGGAGTACCGCGTGCGGGTGGACTGGCCCTGCCAGGCCGGCGCACACACTGATGTCAGTGGCGATAGCAGGACGGGCCGGTGACTCAGGGCGCCAGGACGCCACCGATTTCCGTTGCGGATGCAGGAAAATGGACAACATGCGCTCACCAGAAGCTGGTCGCGCCGGGGGAGGGTCGGAAATGTACTGACGATGGGCGCTGAAGGCACGCGTCGAACGCGCCGGTGGCTGCTGGCGGCTTACGACCGACTCTGTCCGTGCTGGCCCGGCTTTTCGGTGGCGTGGTGCGCGGAGTCCGGCCGGGCCCGCCGGCCAACGTTACACAGCCCAGTGACGTGCCTCCAGACTGGATCATGGGCTGCAGCTTTGGCGCCCGGCTGGTCGGGTTTAATGAGTCGGTAATCGAACAATGACCCGCAGCGAGTGGTTCCGGCGGGGAAGGGCCTGTTGCAACTGCCGGCAATCAAATGTCTATCAAAGTCACCGTAAATCCTGACTTTTGATTGCTGCGAGTCAGCGTAAGGCACTTTAGCTGCTCTAACCGATGTAAACAGGGGCCAGCGACGGATTAGATACTGCATGCGGCATGCAAATAACGGAGTGTTCTTTTGAACATCCAGTTTTTAGAAAAGCCGTCGGAAAACTAACCAGTATGAACCCTCTTGCTCGCTTTTTCAGCAGGCTCTAGGAGAATTCAGAGTTTTCGGGCTCGGCTTTATTTGACAGTTTCCAGAATGGTAGCCAAATTCCAGATTGCTGGAATTAAGGGCATCGCACCGTTGCAACATAGGATCGAGGGAAATAATTACCTGTAAACGCCGTGGTGCAAAAGTTGGCGGTGGTAGGAACCTGACTATCCACAACTTATTTAGTCGTAGATAATTTGACAAAACTAACAGCCTGGCGTTACATCACGTCTGCCATGTAACCGTTCCATTCGTTCGCTCTGATTTGTCGCCACGTTTGCTCAGTCCCGTGGAAATTCAGGGCGCTGGACACGATCGACATTCAGCTATTGGAGCATGCATGGCTGAACTTCTGTCATCCTCAACCGCGTAATGACCGACACCTCAGCGGCCGCGGTGGCGCCATTCATATCTGCCGTTGCCAATTACCGAGTTACTCGGACAGTGCGTAAACCACATTCGTAGTTCGGAAACCCCCGCTCGCCCACTGCGCGGGGCTCCCGCAGTCGAACCCAGCCACGGCGCATGCGCGGTGCAGCCGACGGGCGGCCGGTCGCTCTGCGCTGGGATTACTCGTCGGGCGGTGGCGGTGGGTGCAGGGCATCCCGCGGTCAGTTGCAGGCTTGCGGTGGGGCGCGTGCGGAGGAGCCTCGCTCGGCCCGTGCGGAGCGGTGTAAGCGGGGACTGACCGGCGTGGTGGGAACCGCAGCAGCCGCGACACCGGACGACAAAGCTCAGGGTCACGCGTCTGGCCGCGGCGACCGCCTCTCTCGGCGCCCCAGGGACCAGGAGGCGCCTCAGGGGTCAGCGGCAGGCCGCCCTCTTCGCGCGGCGGGGGTCGCTCGGAGCGGCACCTGAGGCGGTCAGCAGCGAGCAGCGGTGCCGCAGGAGCCGCGCCTGTCGGTCGAGCCGCTCTGCGCGCCGGCAGACACGCTGCTGCAGCGCGCCGCCGTGCGGCCAGGCGCCGTCGGACCGCGGCCACCGCCGGCAGCCGCCACGTCCCCTCAGGAGGCGGACGCCCGGCGAGCGCCGATGCACCTGCCGGCGGACGCGCTGACGGCCGGCTTCAGCGGCCGGCCCGCCTGGGCGGCCGCCGAGCAGCTGCTGGCCGAGCGCTCGCAGCGGCAGGCCGCCGGCGAGCACGGCCCGGAGCTGGTCGCCACCGGCTCGCCGTGCTTCGTCTGCACCGGCCTGCCCGCCCACTGGCGCTCCAACAAGGCGCTGCCGGTGGCGTTCAAGGTGGTGGCGCTGGGCGAGGTGGCCGACGGCACGGCCGTTACCCTGCGCGTCGGCAACGACGAGAACCCGTGCGGCGAGCTGCGCAACAATATGGCGCTCATCAAGAACCAGGTGGCCAAGTTCAACGATCTCAGGTTCATCGGGCGCAGTGGCAGAGGTGAGTGGACGAGTGGGCCCCGTGCAGCCGTCGCCAGCGATGAGAGGCAGCCGGCGGCGAACTGCACAGCGACCACCAGTGCCAGGTAGTCGACGGCTTGGAAGCAAGGCACTGTTGCGTGTTGTGTATGTCTGGTGGTTACCATATGCTAGATTCCCATGCCCTATCTTTCACCGCCAAAGCGGTGAACCCCTATCGGATTATAGCAAGTGTGCATGCATTTGTAGTGGGAGTACCACGGCGCCCTTTCTACTCCGTGGCCAAGCTAGGCATTGGTGCAGGTGTATTTAACTTGTAATCCAGTGACCTTTCATATCGGCATGAGACGTAAATCGTCCGACGTGATGATGCTCTGAGCTCAGCACTCTGTGGGGCAGCTCGAGTACCTCGTGTCGGGAGATTGATGCAGCAGGCGTCGAAGATTCCTTCCACTGTGGGGCGGCGGAGCTCAGGGTCTTTTTGGTTCCCATGCATCTAGCGTGGCATGGGTCTAGCGTTAAGTAGCGTCGAACTTCGACGTCTTGGCCCCAACCCGAACTCCGCGGTTCGTTTAGCCATGGGCGCTGGCAGGGCTCGTAAGCCAAAATCCGGCGTAGGTAAACGCTTTTACAAAGTTGAGTTGTTGATACAGATGACGGGAAGACGTAAGGTAATAGAGTAAGACATCTTCGACAACCGACATCTCTAGATTCGTTCAATACGTTGGAAAGAGTGCCGTTCATGAAAGCTTAGCTGGCGAAGGCCCATTGTCACAAATTTGCTCTCCAATTCACGAACAACATTACATCAAGTCGGTCGGCCATGATTCCGATCGGCTCTGGCAATATTAGTCTACGATATGTATGAATTTGCAATAATTTGCGGTTTTCGCAAGGTCGACTGAAGTATTACGGATGAAACAAATACTTTGGATATAAGTTGGTCACAATAAACAGGGCAACACCCGTGTATATTTCAATGTTCAAACATTTCGACGCATGCCGCAGTGTCTGGTGTTTGAAATCCGTCTCCAAAAACGTGGCATTATTCTCTTGCCGGCCGATTTTTGAAACATCTGAGCGTCGGATGGTTATGAGATCCTTGGCATGTTGCAGTCGGTGCATCCGTGTACACCGTGTAACGGATTTCACGTTGTTATCTGCCTACGTTTCCGAGATCTGAGACTTATCCTTAAAAAGTCCCCGAAACGGGCAGATTCATGGCTTGCGCGCAGGAACTCAGGACCGTCTACACATTGCCTAACGCTTCGGAAATATGATGGACTGTTTTCTCCTCTATCAGAACCAGTCAATCTCGAATCGCTTTAAGGTTGGGTCGGCGAGATCTGCACCTGGTTTCGATCCGTGTCCACAAGGACTTGTCCAATTTGTAATCTTCGGCTTTTCCATGTTAATGGAGTGGGGTAGGGGGAATCGTGGGATGTTTCAATGTTGCGGGACAAGGCTACCCGATCGTACAGCTAACTTTCCAATGCCTAGCAGTTTACAGGACGCAGATTTTACAGACTTGTGCTTCATGTTGCTAAAAGCTGCATGAATCTGCAATCAGTGGCTACAAATGTATACGTATATGCGTCTGGAAAGGGAAAAGGTATTGCCAGGCCAGGCTGGGTGGTTTAAATTGAAAATTTCGATCATCGTTCAAGTATGACCAGCTCGGCTTGTCGCAGCCCCATTCGCTCAATATCTAACGACAGAGTCGTGCTCGAAGACCTGTAAATCCGTATAGCTTAACCCATGTGCACCATCTTTAACAAATAGATTCGTGCACATTGTCAGCATATTAGGCTTGGCTCCCGAAAGAGCCAGACCAGTGCAATAAATCGCTCTCCATTGTCCGATCTGTCAATTTCCATGGTTTTCCTGAGGTTCCTCCACACTTGTGCCATGTGCAATCCTTAAAGCTGTGAGCGATTGCTCGACCGTGTTCGTTAAAACGAGAGCATCTGGACATGACGAGATGACGTCACGGTCTTACTGCACACCCCTTCAGAGCACTGACCACAAAAGCGTCATCTCGGATGACGCTTTTGACCTGACCTGTGGATTCGTTTGTGTAGCATCACATGCTTTTCAGTGTGTAGCATTTCCTCTTGTGCGTACGTGTGTTTCTTAGCGTGTCTGCAGCGCGATCGATCCTATGAGCGATACAGCTCGCCCTGCATGCTGCGGAGGCCGTGTTCGGCTCCATAGCATCTAGCGCTGGTGCAGATCCGGCTGGCCGCACGACGTGGTGTCGTATCTCGGTCAGTGGCAGCGGCCTGAGCCGGATCCAGGGTGTTCACGAGTCAGAAAACGCGGCGAGGCTTCTTCGCACCACGCCTCTTTCCCGGATGGTGAAAGGTCCCGGATGTGCTAATAAGACCTTTTGTTTTCAGGGAAGAGCTTTAACCTAACAATTCAGATATCGACCACGCCGCCACAGATTGTGTCCTACAACAAGTGCATGAAGGTGACGGTCGACGGACCACGGGAGCCAAGAAGCAAAACTCGTGAGTACCGCCTGTCGGGCTCCTCACGACGGTGGAGTGATCGCGTCTACCAAACTCTTCCCATTAATTCGAATGCCGTAGAAACAACGGAGCGTTAATTTCAAGCGCAGTTTCCAACTCTAGCCAGTTCTGGACAACTGAAACACTGGGAATATTGCGTGGTTCCTTCGGCAGCAACTGTATGCACCGACTTTCCGTCATTATGGAAGTACCACCACTACTGCGTCATCACTCGCCTCCCATAAGGCTCTTATACGCTTAAGTTGACCCCTCCAGAACTGGCACAGTAAGAGAACAAACAGCTGGCTCAAAGAAGAGTATCAAATGTTCAGGGGTGTGTAACGCGACTGTCAATTCCATTCACTTGAAAAAGCCTTTCTGTAAGCCCAATATCTTTAAATGTGTCGCTGATAAAGTGGTACCCGACACATTTTGGAGCTATGTAGACATATCATCCTTCCCTGCAATTATGCTCTTTGCCAGCGCTAGATGTCAGCACAGCTGGCTCCGCTGCAACCTTTCCGTATTTCGTCTTCCCATTCGCTGCGCTAGCAGCGCGTTTCCATTGGTCGGCATGGTATGGCACCGGGCGCCAGTGAGTCGTTCCCCTGCTGACGGCCGACGGCCAGTGAGTCGCTCCCCTGCTGACGGCCGACGGCCAGTGAGTCGTTCCCCCCTGACGGCCGACGGCCAGTGAGTCGTTCCCCTGCTGACGGCCGACGGCCAGTGAGTCGTTCCCCTGCTGACGGCCGACGGCCAGTGAGTCGCTCCCCGCTGACGGCCGACGGCCAGTGAGTCGCTCCCCTGCTGACGGCCGACGGCTGGCGAGTCGTTCCTGTCGGGGCCGCCGAACCGGACGGGTGCTAGCACCCGGCGCCGGCGCAGTCGCCGAGGTCGGGCTGGCCCCGGTGCAGTCGCCGGCGCCGCTGCCGGCTCCCCGAGCCCGCTCGGTGGGCGTCACTGCTGACGCTGTCGGAGGCTGACGCATCTGGAGTCCATCTGAAGCGCACCCATCGGCCTCCGGTGGGCTCCCGACTCTGGAAACACTGGCACGGCAGATCCCGCGTGTGTCATCGCCTTCCGTCTGTTACGTCAGCCCGGGGGTGCGGGGTGCACGCTGAAGCGTGACGTACCCTCCTCGTCGAGGCATTCTCGTCGCAGGATGATGAAAGAATAGTTGTGAAGGAAGTAGGCGAGCATGTTTGTGTTGCACGTCACGGTATTACGTCACGCAGGCATCCAGCAATAGAATAAGTATGAAAGCGCATGTTTCAACCAGAGTGAACGTGCCGTGCTGTACCAAAAGACTTCCGGCAGCCATAGTATCTGTCAGTATTTGTTTTGCTCGTAAATTAAACAGCATCCTTAGGTCTCGTAAGGCTACGCACAACATAAAGAAAGCGTCAGAAGTCCAGTGTGAATTTAGAAGATCGTGGATGCTGCTTTACCGGTTGAAGGGAAAGTTGTATACTTGTACGAAATGTGTATTTAAGTGCTGCAGTTAGGTTTCACGTGCTGTATTTACACACTCGTCCATGTGAACGTGAGCTACAATTGCCTTCTCTTACTGATTACCAGCTATCGGCGCAATGAAGCACGCTTTGGTGGAGTTTAAGGAGAGCACATCGCGTGCTAAAGGGTGGAGGTCCGCTCTCAATGAAGCTGCAATGCGCCCTGATTTAGTTCATGGGCGGACGGCAATCGCTGCAACTTTGCCAAACTCCTGCGTTGGCTGGAGCAGATCATCCCATTCCTTTCTTGGGCTGAGGATGATTTATTTCGTAGTAAGAATGGATTCCAAGAATTGTACATTACAAGCAGCCTAGCCCTATCATTGCTGCCGGGCACTTATTTGCAAATTTGAGCTTGTTATTGCTTGGTCAGGATACCTCAGTGTGTCTATGGCCATTATTTAGCGGCAAAAGACAATGTATGAAACAACGCGTGTGTTGCCCACATGCCAGGCGAATTACGAAAATTTTGCTCTATAAAGGTGTGATTTATGGCCGCCGTCGCATGACCACATGCATTTCGTTCTCTTGAAATCGTTGCAGCGGTACGAAACGGCATGAGAATTGCCGGCCGGACGGGGAGTGGTTCTGGGGCCGAACAATTTTCACCCAACTTGAATGAGTGGTTCTGGTGTTGGAGCCGCACTACGTCACAGCAAAGCGTATAACTGTAGTGTGAATTCAGAGCATAATAGCCTGCCCTGTTTTGAAGCGGTCCAACTAAATTAAATTGGCGGTAGTGGCGCCGTCTGCGGACGCTCATAGCGCCGAAATGGCGCGCTGTCTTAGCGACGAGGAGCCCGAAATCACTCCAGTTCACAGCAGGCACTCGCGACTGCGGCACCTCTGTGAGTTTGGAGCGCCCGGTGCGGGTCCCGGAAGGAGCTCATGTACGCTTTATGTCCGAGATGCATTGAATTCACGACCCCTGTCTGCTTTGTGGTTGAGTGGTGGCATCTGTCACCCGTGCTCGCTTCGAAAATTTGTTTTGCTTCCGATGATGACGGCGCGAGAGAAGCTGTAGCGGGCCCTGAAGCGTGCCGACAGGCTATCCGCGACACTCCGTCGACTTTGAATTTACTTCACGCTGGGTACCGTGCATTGAGTGGCGACCACATTGCTGCGTCGGGCTACATCTTGTCTCGCACCAGCGCTCCTGACGTCCCTTTCATATGCGTTTGTGGCGGCAGTGTGGGAAAATAAACGAGCGTTCACAAAAAGCCTCATCGCCTCCACCAAATTACACACGACAGGAACTGTTATACACACCAGATGGCGCACGATAAAAGTATGGCGAGTCGCACCGAAAGTCACGACGGACCGAAGCGTAATCGGTGCCGGCGTTTGCGGTAGAACCGCGTGAGCCGGCTCGCTCTTTGAAGAGATAGGGCTGGTCAAAAATATCTTCCAGATGTACACGCAGGAAGTTGACGCGCTAACACCCAGTTAAGAAATAAGGTGTTATGTCCCTTTTCTCAGAAGTTCGTTGTTTGTGATGCAATAGTTCTAAAAAGTTTAGTTTCACTCGGGTCAAATTGGAAGCTCGGACGTCACTTCACTAGAACCAAAAGACTGCGCGAAAAATGGCGTGCATACAGTCGTGCTGCGTATTGGTCCGTTCCGCCCACTAAAACTACCTGTATGAGACTGCATGCATGCGAAACTGCCTCTCACCGACGCTCACATCTGGCGTTGCTGTCAGCAATAAGCGGTTGGTTCCCTGCGGCAGCCGCACGTTAAGATGCATCTACGTGCGCTTGCATGAAGGTATGCCCCGTTCCCAAGTGAACAGTCTTCGAATTCTGTGGGACGCGAGCATGTAAGTGATGCTATGCGGGGTTTTCCCAGTCCCGCCTCTCCAACAGCGTCATGTGTGGGAGCACGAATCAACCATACTTTCCCTACCGAATCAAACATGGAAAGCGGTTACAACTAACAGGTCCAGATAGCTGGCTCGTATCACATATCAATATTTTCTTTGGGGCAGATATGTAGGCAACCATCTTATTTAAGCATCATCAGTTTACGGCAAAGGCATAATGTCGCCGAAACGTGGTAACGGCAACCGTCATCACTAGGCAACACTAAATGTGGTGCTGTCAGAACTGCGCAAAAAATCTGGTCTGTCAGCTGTCACGTAATATCCTGTGTGGCCGGGATGTGTGGTATTTGTTGCTTTCAAATGCCCGTCGGTAGCTGAACCAGACATAAACATAACAAGACAACGCAGAAGCCCCACCTTGCTGCAGACTGCAACAGCCGTCTTGCTGACTTGACCAGCCAGTACCGAGCCCGTCACCCCGCCGCGCTGGCTCGGCCCGGACCGTCACCGCCTCCCCCTCCCCCTCCCACCGGTTGGTCGTGTCGGCCGCCGGCCACGCCCCGTCGCTTCCGACTGTTACCGAGCGCCGAGCGTGGCGGGCTGGGGGCGCGTCCCAGCGACGCAGCGCCACGCCAAGGGCGGACGGCGGCACGTGCCTGGCGGCGCAACTCTCGTCGGGCCAGACAACTGGGGTACCGGCTGTACAGCTGGAGTACCGGGTGTACAGCTGGGGTACTGGGTGTACAGCTGGAGTACCTGCTGTACAGCTTGAGTACCGGCTGTACATCTGGAGTACCGGCTGTACAGCTGGGATACCGGCTGTACAGCTGGAGTACCAGCTGTACAGCTGGGGTACCGGCCGTACGGCTGGAGTACCGGGTGTACAGCTGGGGTACCGGCTGTACAGCTGGGGTACTGGATGTACAGCTGGGGTTTCGGCTGTACAGCTGGGATACTGGTTGCAGAAATGTTGGTATGGAGGTACCGGTTGTAGTACTGGCACCGGCGGTCTGAAATGCCTGAAATGGCTTTGATCACCGTATTACAAGGGTAAGCATGTGCGTTGCGTTTCAAGCCATCTCAGGGGAATACCTCTCCAAACCACTTTGCCTTTCCAATGCCCTCGTGCTGATATGTTCATCGAAAGCATGCGGTCAAGAACATGTCAAGAATGATTCAACCCCTGTGCCCAGCAACGTCAGTCGGGCTGGTCAGGACGTCGTCCGGATACGCAGCGCGACATGTCTGCTTGTCCTGAACATGACAAATAAACATGCGGACCATAGGGCATGCAAGGCACTTCACATGTGCATGATGTTTGCGGAGATTTATGACTGGCACGTGAACGCGGGGAACTGAGTGGCCTGGAAACTACCAAGGCATGTGCATCTTCGCAGGTTCACAAACCTTTGAAGGATGATGGTCCGGCGAGCTTTAGGCAGATTTACGGATGGTCACTGAGGTAATCCTACATGTGGTTTGTCTGTACACATGACTGAACGCTTCTCTCACGCCTTGGAACATAATCTTAGATTTGTTCGGTGATGACGTCACCGATAGGTCTGACGACAGAGGTCTGATCGCTGCGACGCCCCTTTCTTCGAGCGAACGAGTGCGGGAGAGCCCGCCGCCGCGCGGCCGTCTGTTTTATCAGCGCCGACGACCGGACGCCGGACGGATATCCCGGCTGCCCGCCGGCGGCGACGCCGCGTCCGGCGCGGCTCGAACCGGTCCGCGCGTCACCGGCGCCAGATGACTCCACCGACCCCAATGACGTCATCGACCCCGCGAGCGACCGGTGTTGGTGTAGGATGCGTCACGGTCATGCGGCGGCGTCGCATCGCATCGCCGCAATCGCTGCAGACGCGGCCTCGGGCGATGAGGCGCGCCGCGCTCCCGATGCCGGCGAGTCATCGGTATTTTCCTGCCGTCCTGCCTGTTTCGAGGAGCTCGCCTCCATCGAGCCGACGAGACTGGCGCCGGTCCGGCAAGGACGCCCTGTCGGTGACGGGCGCGTCCCGCCCACGCGGCGGGCCGGCGCGGCGCCGACAGTGACCTACGGGCCGCTGCCCGGCGCTGCCGCCGCTGCTGCTGCTGCTGCAGACCGGATGGCGAGCCGCCAGCACTTCGCCGAAAATGACGCCATTAACGTGCCGGCGTGCTCACGCGTTTGACTTTATGCCTGGGCGGTAACGGCGGAGGTTTGTCGGCGCGGGGGTCGATGCCTTCGGTATGCGGGATGTGAATGCTAACCCAGGTTTCACTATTGTCTCCAATGTCAACCTCTAAGAGGATGTCACTGTGACGGTAAATTGACATCAGTAGCGTTAAGTAGACACGAAGCTGATGACTGCTGCACTCCTTCACCTGTATACCTAAGACACATGCATATGCATTGCAGTGCACATACGCATTGTAAGAGGCAGTCACGCGCCGCGTTGTGCAGACAACATAATGCCGACTTCAGCACTAACTCACCTGCACACAATAGTGCGAAGTGCCTCCATTGTTCCATCACCCTATAGGTTATGACGATCATTCACTCATGACAGGTGGTGTCTGCCGCCAAGTTTTAGCTGTGCCGGGAATATATGAGCATACTTTTATATAAGGTATTTGTGTCCGTGCGGTCTTAAACAATTAACGTAGAGTCTGTTTCGAGACTTAAATAGGGTGCAGCGAAGCTGTGACTTCCGAAGTACTGGCATTGTACTGAAATGCTACAGGAGAAACTTCTGTGTATAATTCACGCCGCTCCTTTCTGTTAGCCTGCAACTGGATGCCTCCCTCCCACTGTCGGGACGGGCATGTGTGCCTAGAAGGCTTTGCATCGTACATCCATCGGGTATATGGCTGCATTGAATGTCCATCAGCACGCTGCACGGACCGCCATTCTCCGCTGTCAACTGTCATCTGACAGCGGATGGATCTTTCACATGATGTTACCATCAAGCAGGCCGAGGCTTACCTGAACTTTTTGTCTTCTCCTGCGGCGCTGAAAAATCGGCGGCTTTCGGTGTCGTCATTTCTGCGGAGTGCGCCCGGTCACCTTTCTTTGTTTGCCGACTGGGGGCACCCGGGCCGAGCTTTGCCGGCCCATGAACCCGGGGGCCCTGACAGTTCGCAGGCCCCGTGTCCAGTGAACCTCGGCGCTGCATAAGCCTTCCTTATCGGGACGCGGATGAGAATTTCACCTGCGAGTGTGCGCCGGCTTACTGCGCACCTGGAACGCAGCGTCCGCACCGGTGTCACGTAGCTCTGCAAATTTATCGTCGTTTTTCGCATTAAGATGGATGACAGCGCTCAATCGTGACACAACTATGTTGTCGGCCGAAAGAGGCGTGTAAGGCTTGGCTGTGGAGGGACAAAGAACTGTTCAGCTTCAGACAGGCAATAGCGAAGGTCAGTGCACTGGCTTGTAGCTGTTGCTTTTGGACCTTGACGGGAAAGTTAAGATCTTTTAGCAATTGCCTCCTGAAAACCAGTATCTCGTGCATCGGTTGGACGGCTCCTGCAAGCCGGGCTCGGCGGGTAGGGAGGGGTGCAATGTGCAGGGTCCAGATTAGAGGCCCTCTTTCGCTCCGCCTTTCACCGACACAAATCCTGGCATCCTTAAAGGGATGAAACTTCGTCTTCAGGATCTAAGGCAGGTTTCTTTACACGTTAGGATTTTAATTTCGCGCTCCGTTGAGGGCTCATGAGCGGTTCTATATGCGCGGATACTGCATACCTGCGGAAGCTTCTCCTTTGGCCATGGCGAGCCATAGCTATGCGCGTGTTAAACTCCCTCGCTCTCAGCTGCAATCGAATAACAAAGAAACTACTTCGAATCCACACTGAGAGCGCAGCAGAGAAGCAGTTGTTCTGTCCCGATCAACCACGGCATGGACGTACTCTCGCTGTCATCACATTTGTGCGGCCAGGGCCCTCAGATGAGCTGCAGATGCCCCCGGGGCCTCCAGATGAGATCGAAGCCAACCTGAGGGAGTACGGTTGGGGGGAATAAGCCGCACAATGCCGTCGCTTCCAGCTGACTAAATGATTTACCTAACGTCGGATAAGGGGTACTATGCCACCAGTGTTTACTCACATCCACTCAGTTTCTGTCATCTGGCTTCACTGCATGCCCTCTTTGATTCTCGGCTTTCATTCCAGGTGAATATCTTAGCTAACTGTGCTCCATACCCATGTATGGTAGCTGTCTATAATGGAGGCTGGCTTCAGGCAGTTCGTTTCAAATCAAGCCGGCGAGTACTGCATGACAATGACTTTTTGACAATGGTTTTTCGGTGCTTCGGCTTGCCGGCCGGTAGACCCCGTTGACTTCTCCGACGCTGTGGAAGTGACAGATTATTGTCAGACTGTGTACCTCGGTAGGCGGTGATGTCGGCCCGAGGGGTACCTTCACACCGTTGCAGCCGTTGCTGCTACTCTGACCGCTCGTGCCGTCTTCTCGTGTGGTGCAGCCGTTGGGAGGGGCTGGGTTGGTGCTCCCCTGCCCGGTAAAGTCCCTCAGTCCCACTGCGGCGGCTCCTCATGTGCGGCATCTCCTACGGATGGGGCTCGGCGGGTGCCGCCAGTGCCGTCCTCCTGTGCCGTCGACGCCCCTGAGTCAGGCTGCGGCCGCGTAAAGCCCGCTGATGAAAGATGACTTGTCTGGACCCCGCCAACGCACGATCTGTGGCTCGCAAGATCCGGCCAACGCACGATCTATGACTCGTAAGATCCGGCCAGCGCACGATCTGTGACTCGCTGGTATCCGCTACCGCATGCACGATGACTTCATTGGATCTAGCCGGCGCACGAGCATACCGCCGGAGTAGTCACCAGTGGCGTGTCCTAACCTGATTCTGATATCGATTTCTGATACGGCTCTTCATGAGACAACCTACATGTCGTCGAAGAAAGCTGTCGCAATCGCTTTTTAGCGCGAGAAACGGAACTAGCAAACTGTTCTCCGAAGTACGTGCACGCTTTGGAGCTCGTGTGAACGGTAGCAATTAGGCATCTTTGTGTTTATCTGAGAATGCAAAGTGTACGGCGTCTTGAGTCTACCCGGATTTGAAACATGCATAATGTCTGCGATACAAGCGGTGCAGTGGCGAGTGTGGTGACTGCCACGCAAGTAGTGATTTCGAAAGGACAACCGCTTTGTCCAAAAGCGTGCGCCCTTTCAAAAAGATCGAGGGACGCTGGACGGCCTGCTGAGCCAGTAAGCAGCACTAACCAGTTACTTTGGCGGTCGGAAAATCCCGTGTACGAGGTTAGAAGGGGGAGGGGTAAGCGTACTCCGGCACGCTCACTTTCCCACAGGTATATGCGCAAATGAGTCATCATAATCTTAGCCCCGGTGGTCGGAAAATCCTGTTCCCCGGTGGTTGGGTCTGGGGATGGGACGAGAGGACTTAGCAGACGGGAAATGCTTTTGACTTGTATGTTGGGTTTAGCTGTACAGCGCTTACGGGGTATCAACGCCGTCTGTCAGTGCACTGATGCGACCATCCAGTGGACGTTCTTTTGAATTTGTTATTGACAGGAATGGCTACTTATCTGACCCATGATTAGGAAGCAGAAACATGCAATGTCATGCTTTTACGGAGATTTTCGGTCAGTGTTATATTTGGTAATCTGAGTGCCAGAATTCCTACCGCGCGCTGACGTCACGACTGAGAAAATTCAGGCGGTGACGGTTCATTCAAGGTCATCCAGCACCAGGAAGTGCAGACTATACCCGCGCGTGGAATTTTAACAACTAGCAGAAAATGATAATTGAAATCGTGCAGTGAACCTAGCAATGGTCGTCGGCCGGCCAGCTCGTACAAATCACATTTTCTGGAAAGTGCCGTGAGTTCTGATAACTTACTTAGTCTTCCGGCCGAGGAGTTCTGTGAAAGTGTCGTGGTTCCTAGCATGTAAAGTCACCTTTGCCGGCATTTTCCTATGCATCGCTTTTGGAGGGGCATCTGTATGGTCGTGATGCAGCTTTTGGAGAGGCACATGTATGGGCGTGATGCAGCTTTTGAAGGGGCACCTGTGTGAGCGTGATGCAGCTTTTGGAGGGACCCGCGTCGGGCTGCGACACTGAACGGGTCGCCTCCGCCCGGCAGGTCAGCACCAGTACCGCGCGTACGGCTTCGGGCAGCGGCCCTACGCGGACGGCAGGTTCACGGACCCGCTGCGCGACCTGGACCACCTGCGCCGCAAGGCGGATGGCCTGGCGCTGAAGGGCGCCGCCGGGGTCAGCCCGCTGTCAGGTCAGTGGACCGGCCGGCCGGGGCGTGCCCGCGGGCGACGCCGGCCGCCGCCGCCGAACGGGCCCCGCTTGGTGTGCGCTGTGCTGCCGGAGACGAGCCTTGAGGAAGCGCCTGGCAGGGCGAGGTGAAGGGAAAGTCTAGTTATCGCATTGTGACAGCGGTCTGGCGTCTTTGTTGTGTTTTGGCATCAACGTCTGGACGAACACAGGTAATCTGCCGTTCCGTGGCCGGCGGATTATCACTGAGCACTCGAGAGCGGCGGCGGGCGGCGGAGCCGAAGCTGAGTCCCAGAAAGGGGCAGAACTGTGTAGCCAGATCGAATGAGACGCGCCATTTGGCAACGGCCCAACCAGCTGGTGACAAAGATAAGGATGACCGTCGCGCAGTCTATGGCAAAATCCAAACTATGGGGCAGTGTGACTTTGGAACTGGAGATATTGGAGCCCACAAATTGATCATACCAAGGGATTGTTGGCATTCGTATGTCATGAAAATAAAAGGTTATGGTTCACTTTGAGGGTAATTAGGAAATATGAGATCCGAGCAGAGCAGACTTACGACAGTCGTCTTTCACAAGAAGAGATTCAGCTCAATTTCTCCATGATGCAGAAGACTTTACGTTTCGACCAGCGACTCTCGTTCAGCCTTAACGTTCTGGGTGTTCAGTTCACTGCGAGTGTGGCTCTTGTGCAGCGATTTATATTTGTGTCATTGAGGGAATCAACCAAGGAAGCTATTTGGGTGCTGCTTTCGCCAATCATTGTTTATTAACCCTTAGCAAAATTACCCTGAATGCATTGCTTTAGATTCCAGTACCTGGTGGTGTTTGGGCCTGGAAAACTTGAGTTGGCGCTTTTTTCAAGTCAGGTTTCTTCTATTTTAATTTTGTATTTCTCTCGAACAAGCAAAATATTTTAATTCTACAAAGTAACTTTCCAACTCCAACCAATCGTGAGCACCGGAAAGCCACCTCTTCTGTGCTGCTTTGTCCGTGGCGTTGTGGCGCGATGTGGCGCTATGGATACAACACGTCGTCAAGGAAGTGTTCAACATTTCCGTGGGGTTTTGAGCTGAAATCCCCACCTTGGAAGGTCATTCGGTGCAGTTCATAGCCCTGCCCTTCTTAAAATCTAAACTCCTCCAGATGAAAACAACACTATGTGGTACCTTCCCGTTTCCCACTGGGCCCGTGTCGAGGCTAAGACTTTTAGAATGATCGCAGCGTAACTAAAGAAAGCTTCCTTCCAAAGCGAGCAAAAGATGTGTTATGATGATAATGTCGTAATTGTTTGTTTTTTATTCTAAAATGCTGTTTTTGCAGGTCAGTCCCCTCGAAAGATTGCTTAAAACCAGAGGGTTCAAGAACTGCGCTGAGTAAATGTGATCAGCTGCATAAAGTGGTGCACACTTGCGTCCATGCCATTGCTTTATCTCTGCTCAGTTAAGCCATGGTAATTCCTTTTCGCCGCACTCCTTGCATTGTTTAGTCATGACCTTGATTTTGACGCTGTTCTATTGATTTTATCAAACGGAAAATTCAACGTTTCCCACATTAGTCGAAACGGGGGACTTGTATGTAAACACGCCTGAATTCATGCATTCACACACCTTAAAACGGCAAAGCACCCAAATTTTCAGTCCGCTGCCTACACGCCGTCCAAAACTGCGGGAAGTTTGCGACTGATGGCTGCGAATCTATTAGCTTATAGAAAGCGTGACTGCAGGACCGGGCCTTTCGAGCTGAAAATGTTCCATGGTGCATGAATACTCGGCTTACGGCTCTGTTCGTAATAGGGATGTACTCGTCACTCCCCAGAGATAGTTGACTGTTGACTATGCATAAACCATCCGAAGGTCGTTACTGGTTGCCACGTCCTGGTAACTTGAGGCTGGGACAGGACTTCGTGCCACCTTTGTCATGTTTTTTTCTTTGGCAACCCAGCCATCTCCACCCGTTCATTTTGGATTTTGTGAGTAGCGTGTTAGGCGGTAGTGGTTACACTAAACAATGAAATGATTCGTACGCGTCAGTTGATTTCCTTACATTTTGACTGACTCCAATGAGCCTCTACCGTGCCTTGTTTTTTAAGTTAGTTGCAAACGCCCACGGGATTTCGGACCGGTGGGACGTTGTTGCCAGGAGTAGTTAATAGTTAACAGATTATCCAATTTACCAGTAAAGTTGGTAGGTTGTAATTTTTCAGTAGCAGTGCTCAGAGGAGTATGGTTATATGCTGGACCCTCCGTAGTTTGGTGGCCTCTCGAAAAGCAACAAAACGACATTTCATGTCGTCGCGCCCTCAAACCCCTGTAGAAAGGGAACCAATCAAAAACATATTGAAAGCCAGTAGTAATAGCCTTATTCCTCGGAGAACAAAAAACGGGAGAAAGGAGATATAGGCTGGTTGATATTGTTTCGATAAAAGCATGTTGCCGAAATATCAACCCACTTATACCTCCAGTCTCCTCGTTTTTCTCCGAGGAATAAGGCTATTACCACTGCCTCATTTATGTGAATAATGTTCCTTGCAAATGCACTGAGCAACTTACTAACACATTGAAAATTTAGAGTCCTACCAGTTGGGAATCTTGTACAAATTATATAATGTGCCATGTGGCAGCGTTTCATACATGGATAAGCTGCACATTATGTAATAATCACGTCCTTGAAAGTTTCCGCGCTGCCTGTGCTGCTTATCTTGCAGGCTGCAGACGCCCGCCATGGGATTTGTGTCTGGGGATTCCCCAGGTGCGTAGTGGCTTGACAAAGCACATATTTGTTGCGAGTTATTTGGTATCTACACACATATGCAGTTTACAATATTTACACATCAATTTTTGTGACTAGTTTTGGTTGCGAAGCTTATCCATTTCTGGCAACAGAACGCGATGCCTATTACTGATGCTTTCGCCGCAATTCCATATGTGGCTTTCAGATTAACCGTGCGCTGTGCTCACTGTTCTAAGCGATCGGCACTCGAAGTTCTCCCTCACTAGAGCCGGCAGTCCTGAGACACGTCGCTGGAGGCCCGCGCCTGCCACTGCGATTGATGGCATGCGGTCTTGTCCATGCGGCTGATTCGCTGCCGTGGCTTGCTCTGACGCGGTGTTATTGACGATCTCAGTCGTGGCTCTTGATGGCCCGATCTGCTACTCTTGATGGCCCGATCTGTTACTCTTGATGTCCCGAGCGGTCCATGTTGACATACCTGGGTCGCCACAGTTGACAGCTCCGAGCGGCTACAGCTGACAGCTCTGAGCCGCCGCTGTTGCCCCTGCGGTTCCTCAGCCGAGTGGCGGCGCGTCCCAATTCCCATCATTGGCCCGCCGACGGCTGCAACCGGCCCTTGCGAGGGTGACGGACCGTGACTTCGTCCAGCTTTCGGGCCGCTCGTGGCCGGGTAGGGGTGGACACCCGTCTTCAGGAATGCTTAAATTCGAACTTAACTATGCATAGTTGCTATGCTGGGGTGAGCTGAATCTGCAAAAAAATCCGCATGGTCATCTCTGAACTTTCGTTGCACGAAGCCCGGGATGAGACAGGATTTTCCTGCCAGGAGATCGGCTTTACGGAATGTCGGCAGTATAAAAAGGATATGGCTCGTTGTAATGTGTACGTGTTCCGTGAGACATCTCAGACAGATTCTAGAGGGGCTTTGCTTGCAAGGCAGCCGCGCAGCAAAAATGTATTTCAGTTTGCACCAACCCGCTTTGAATCCTCCCGAAACATTTCGTTTTGAACCTATTCCACGGATATGAAATAGTTTCGTTTTGAAAAATGGTACCTATGGTTGCACAGCAGGGCTGTTGTTCTCAGTTGCGATAGTGCAGTCTAGGCCTGGCATGTTGACACAGGCAGGTGTGGTCACACAACCCGGCGTGCCTCATAGCCAGACCTCGTCGGAGTTGTACTGCAGAAGAACATAGTGTGGTGTTGCATGGTTAAAGCTACCATGTCAGTGCTTCTACTCTGCGTGACTTGTTGACTTCCGTAACTGGATGACTCTTTCTGTTCTGCTATGGCTTGCTGACAGATGGACAGCTGCCGATCACATTCGGTCTGGGGCGATACGGCGGAGTCATTGTTGTCGCTCTCCAAACCGGCCGGATCTTTCCGTTGAGTTCTCTGGCTCACGCTGATATTCGTGCCTGTTGTTAATAGCCGTCATCTGCGTCAATACCTTTTGTCTCTGGTTACAGTTGTTGCTGGTTGCTGTCTTTTTCGTCAATTGGTTGCCGCACTAGCTACCCCTTCTGTCCAGTCCCGTCGCTTAGAGGTGACAAAAGCCCTCAGGGTTTCGAGAAAACCCAGTTTTTGTCTTTCCAGGCATTCCGAATTGGTTGAGGCTCAGTTTGGCCAAATATGAGAGCAACTGCCCGCTCCTGATCTTCCCTACTTTTCTGTCCCACACGGGCTCACCAAAGAAAATAAGACACTCCGGGCACATCTAACGGTCGTCCAGTACAAAGACATCACACACGGATTGGTGCGCCCGTCTACCCGTGGGGTCAATCCCCAATAACGACCCCGCACTTCCTGAGCACGCACTAATTACGGAACTATTGCAGCTCTGCGACGGATTAAAGACTCTCATTACGGAAAAACGCGGCTGTTTTATCGACGCCCGTCGCCTAACAGGCGGTACTAATAAGACATGTCCAGTGTAACTGACATGTCGGCGTGCGCTGCGTCCCGCGCTTTTGCGCGCTTGGAATGCGCCCGGTTGGGCCGTGCCGGTGGAACGGAAGGCATGAAGTGCCGGTGGGTGACGGTGATATCCTCCACGGGGGGAGGGGTGGGCGGCGGCACCGGTGCAATCCGGCCGGGGCTTGACAGCCACCCGCCAGCACTAGCTCATATCTCATACGGCTTCCGCTCCTCACTTTATTGCCCCGATATGTGTGTGCATAACTTCCGCAGCGATGTAGCTCTTTACGATTTGCCCACGTGTCCAACTACGCATATGTACACTGGATCACGGCGTAAGTCATTTTAGACCTGAATTCTTATAATTGTTCCACACTGGCCAGAGATTGTGTTCGGGTGGCCGCCGCTGGTGCCGGGCTCCGCTCTCGTTGGCCGCTGGTGCCGGGCGCCGCTCTCGGTGGCGCGCGCAGCGCCCCGTTACAGAGCACTCTGACGCTCCACGACGGGGATCGGAGACTGCGCGGAATTCGTCTGCGGTCCGTGCCGACGAGAGTTCAGCGCTGGACGCGGTGCAGCGCGCCGGGCCGTTGTCATGGCTCGGCGTACGAGCCGCTGCGCCGACCAGCTGCTGGGCTCCGCGCGAGCGGTGCAGCGTCCCGGTGGCGCGTTGCGTCAAGGTCTGCAGCTCGACGTGAGTGCCGCCGGCCGGCAAGCTCAGCCATCCAGGTCGACACCGGCAGATCTGAGTCGTGCGCTGCTCCGCTGGTACGAGCACGCCGAATCCGTGGCGTCTGGGACCATACATGGATAGGATCTGTTCGATCCTTCGTGTCGGACGCTTACGAGGAATGAGTCGGAATATGGAAGGCCGAGCGTTTGGTTTACCTGATAAAAAAGTGCATGGTGTTTCAAAATTGGGAATTGTGTGAGACAGCTCTAATATCATGTCAAGACGTCATCGCCTTGGCATCATTGCCACGGCTTCCTGATGCCCACGCGACAAACGCAGCGTGCGCAGGCGTGCTGCACAGCGTCGCCAATGGTGTGTGAACAACGCGTGGTGTATGAACGGAAGCCTGTAACGGTTACAAACCAGCCACGCGCTGGCCACGGTAGCGGTGGAATGTGCCCGGTGTAGGCCGCTTTGTGTGGTAATGCTAATGTAATCGTCTCAAGATTCCGGTAGCAGACGGCAGATGACAGGTAGTTTTCGAGTTTGTATGCATCGGGGCCGTTCATGGGGCCGGCGCCCGAAGCAAGTTATACTCATCAGGCGAGGGCTTCGGCTGTTTGTGCACAGGATGAGACTCGGAGAGCCGATCGAACATGAAGCTGCAGAAAAGACAAATGTCATATCCAAAACGAAAAGAGAACCGTGTAAGATTGATCACAGCGACTGTGACGTCTTTCGTATGCCCTCGAGATGCGCCGGGTTGGGTGTAAATACTTGTCCTCTATAGAACTTCGAGTTGGAGACATATATGGCACGAACCCCATTGGCTGCCCGCATTCATTGCCAGCCTCCCAACAGCCTCAGACAGCCACTTACGGGGCACCAACATCCACCAACTGCTGCCTTCAGCTCCCGACATCCGACGACACTGATATCTGGCCACATCGCGGAACCGGACCCAGGCCAGCCGCCAGGTCCGGAGCCGGGCCGGTGAGACGGACCCAGGCCAGCCTCCAGGTCCGGAGCCGGGCCGGTGAGACGGACTCAGGTCAGCCGCCAGGTCCGGAGCCGGACCCAGGCCAGCCGCCAGGTCTGAAGCCGGGCCGGTGAGCCGGACCCAGGTCAGCCGCCAGGTCCGGAGCCGGGCCGGTGAGACGGACCCAGGCCAGCCGCCAGGTCCGGAGCCGGACCCAGACCAGCCGCCAGGTCCGCAGCCGGGCCGGGGAGCCGGACCCAGGCCAGCCGCCAGGTCCGGAGCCGGGCCGGCCGCCGGAAGCCCGCGCTCGGCGGCGCTGCTCGTCCGGTGTGGGTTTTTTTCTGCCGTCACGGCCCGGCGTGGGCCGCGTCGGCAGTCCGGAACCCAGGCGCCGAGCGTCCTCGGTACGGACAGATAGTTGGCTTCCCCGGACGGACGTCGGCTTTTTCCACCTCGCTGCGTCGGGTCAGCGGATCGGTCCCGGGCTGAAAGGCTGCACACACCCAGGGAAACACCTCGCACAACGTGTTTTACAATAGCAGGATGTGATTCCTGTTCGCCAGCGTATTTACTAGCTCGCATATTTACACGACGTATGTGGGAGTTTTTATGTTCCTCCATATGGCCGCAGCTTGGTAAGGGTTGCATTTCATTAGAAGCATGTGTAAAAATTGTGGCCATAATTTTGGCGGCCGAAATGACGCCTCTGGTTGCAACACACAAAGAACTGCCAGCTCCCGCCCCTTATCTATCCTAGAGTAGTATTTGGTGTTTTCCTCTGGCACCAAGGTGACCTTAAAAGGTTACGCCCGTAGCAACAATGTTGACACGGCCGTCCATTATAGGTCACGCCGTCAGGTAAATGTCATGCAGACATTGACAGCGATTTTCGTGACAAGATAGCATGAAAATGTGTGTTCGAGGTTGGGCACTCGCTAGTGTTTTGTCGGAGCGCTCTGGTCGTGTTTACGTCGAGCAGTCAATGTCAGATGGCTCTGGGATGCGACTTGAGAAATTCATCAGTAACAAACGTACTTCTTGGAGCTTTTGCGCGGGAAGGAGCGTCATGGCTGCGCCGTCCCAGCTCATCTGCTACATCGATGGTCTGGCCACCCAGCGGTTGTCAGGATTGGGCCTATGCGCTCTATGTCTTCTAACCCCTGAACCACCGAACCTCAACTACTGAATACGCTGTCTGTCGCTGAAGGTGGCAGACAGCGGATGCCCCTGCCTAGTCGTCCACGTGGCGCGGCCCTCGGCGCCGGCAGCGGGTCAGATGCGCTGCCGTCTGGACCGGTTCGGTGCTGTCCACGCGGCGCGGACTTCTGTTGAAGGGCGCTAGGAGAGGGCGGATGTCGGCCCACCCGGACGTCCTCCGAGCCACCCGCGTCACGCGCGTTGGCGGGACGTTCCGGAAACACGATGTCACAATCGTTCGCTTACGCCTGAGAGATGCGAGTCGAGTAAGATGCTTAAACTGGGGATCGCTTGCCTGCTCGCTTTGAAGTTGTCACGGTGGGTTTCAAAAGCTTGTTGTTTATGTCATGGAGCATTACGAAACGGGGAGGGGTTTGACAACGTAGAGACAATCTGGAATTTTCCATGGCTGTCTACTACCTCAAATCTTCCAAACGAGAGTGATCAACGACGACAGGTCTTGATTTGCTCGCGCCCAAGGCTGGTAAGCATCGTCCGCCAATAGCCGTGATACCCCGGCTCATCTTCGTCGTGACGCGCTGGGAGTGGCAGCGGGAGTAGCCGCACCGGTTCATCGGTTACGTGCCGACCAATCGCCATCGGTCAGTCAAGGCCGTGAGTCATCAGTCGGTCATCTCGTCAGGGGTGACGCCGCAGTCCGACCGGTCTCGGCTGCATGGCTCGGGTCTCCGCGGGTCCGGCGTTTCCGGACCACGTGCTGCGAGCGGACGGCGCGGAATCTCGCCGGCAGTGGCAGCCGCCGACACGCGGCGCGACGTCGCAGCGGCGCTCCTGCAGCATCCGCAGGGCGTCCCAGTGGGCTCGCTTCCGGCTGCAGCGGAGGCCTTCCCTCGAGCGACACGCACGTCCAAGGCGGAGTCGGCCGTCGGGCGCGGCGCGGGCTGTGGCGTTGGACGCGGAGCGCGCTCTCGCGGCGCACCCCCGCCTCGCCGTCGAGCTCTGGCCGGCTCGGCTCAGGGCCGACCGGTTCCGGCGCGGGCGGCGGCGGCGGCAGCGCGGCGAGCCTGGCTCTTGTGATGCACGGGTGTTTCCCGCAGCCGGCTGGCTTCTGCAGGAAATGCCGCGATATGGCGAGATACACCGCCGCGCCCGGCGCGCACCGCCCTGAGTTCCCACCTGCAGCGTGAGGCGCGGGCTCGGTGGGCTCGGCAGCCGGCGCCCAACGGGCCTGGCTCGGCAGACACCGGAAATACCGGACATCGTCGGCCGGAAACGAGGCTCGGGCACTGGGGCACATGTGGGGCAGCGTGCAGGCTAACTGAGAACACGACGCCGGGCACGGGGGCAGCGTGCAGGCTAACTGAGAACACGACGCCGGGCACGGGGGCAGCGTGCAGGCAGACTGAGAACACGACGCCGGGCACGGGGGCGGCGTGCAGGCAAACTGAGAACACGACGCCGGGCGCTGGGGCAACGTGCAGGCAAGCTGAGAACACGACGCCGGGAACTGGGGAGGCGGGCAGGCAAGCTGAGAACACGACGCCGGGAACTGGGAAGGCGTGCAGGCAAACTGAGAACACGACGCCGGGCGCTGGGGCAACGTGCAGGCAAGCTGAGAACACGACGCCGGGAACTGGGGAGGCGGGCAGGCAAGCTGAGAACACGACGCCGGGAACTGGGAAGGCGTGCAGGCAACTGAGAACACGACGCCGGGCGCTGGGGCAACGTGCAGGCAAGCTGAGAACACGACGCCGGGAACTGGGAAGGCGGGCAGGCAAGCTGAGAACACGACGCCGGGAACTGGGAAGGCGGGCAGGCGAGCTGAGAACACGACACCGGGCACTGAGGCAGAGTGCGAGGAGCTGAATATACGGGCTGCCTCAGCTTGAATGCGTTAAACACGCTGAACAGGAGAGCAGGTGTTTTTGTGCCATAAATGCCCCCAACGATTCCTTGCGCTGTTCCGTGACTGAAGCTAAGAGCTGTGTATTAGTGACTTTTCTTTAACCACGCCTCTTTTGTCGCAGATGCCGGACAGCTGTTGCAGGAATCAAGCCATTGGGGTGGTTACACACCTTCTCCGTACGCTTACCTGCCTAGTAAGTCTAAGCGTTGCTCGCATTAGCATCTTAAATTATTTTGGGTTGATCAGTGCTTTTATTTTTTGTGGCATGAAGCAAAATGTTCTCTTACGTAAGCAGTAAAATTTTTCTCAGCGTGTTCAAAATGTGTTTAAAACGCCGTTTGCACTTTGTGTCTTTAAGAATGCTTTTTAGCTTTTGACACCTTTACACTTCCTGATTGGCTTTCTCGTCGGGGGGGGCGAGTATTTACCGGCCAAGTCCTTGACGAAGAAGCAGGCCATTGGGCGCGACTGCCACGTCGCTGACGCTATCTTGGCTTCCACAGGCAGCGTGCCGGGCAACATGGCGTCACTGCAGGGCGGCGGCTTCTCCTACCACAGCCCCGGCCAGCAGGCTCTGCTGCAGACCGACAGCAGTCCGCACCTTCCAGCAGGTGAGCCAGAGGGTGCCGCACGGCGGGCCGCCGGCAGCCCGGCCGCCTTCCGGCAGGTGAGCCAGAGGGTGCCGCACGGCGGGCCGCCGGTAGCCCGGCCGCCCCGCGCCGTCTCCGGCCATGGATCGCAAGGGGCGCCCTGTGCAGGGCGGGCTTTTGTAAAGATGATTGCAGTAATTACAAGTCGATGCGACAAAACGCGCGGAAATTTCGCTGAGTCAGTACCGGCGTCGCTTCGATTCGCGGGAAGTTGCGGCCGTGGAATGTCCGTCTCTGGTGCCGATACTTCAGTGCTCAGCATCCGCGCCGCCTCCAAGAACGCCGGGGAGACGTCTCCCTCCCCCCCCCCCCCGCCGGCTGCAGATAGGCCAGGAAATGGCGTGACAGGTTACTGGGGGCACTGCCGTCTGAGCAGCCAGCGGCGCTCGGCTCCTAGTTCTTTGTTAGAATATCTATCGACAAGTGCGGCAGCCATGGGTGCTCAGTTCACAACACCTCACGTCGGCTGACGCGGCTGCCGTGGGTGCCCAGTTCACAACACCTCACGTCGGCTGACGCGGCCGCCGTGGGTGCTCAGTTCACAACACCTCACGTCGGCTGACGCGGCCGCCGTGGGTGCTCAGTTCACAACATCTCACGTCGGCTGACGCGGCTGCCACGGGTGCTCAGTTCACAACACCTCACGTCGGCTGACGCGGCTGCCACGGGTGCTCAGTTCACAACATCTCACGTCGGCTGACGCGGCAGCCATGGGTGCTCAGTTCACAACATCTCACGTCGGTTGACGCGGCAGCCATGGGTGCTCAGTTCACAACACCTCACGTCGGCTGACGCGGCTGCCGTGGGTGCTCAGTTCACAACATCTCACGTCGGTTGACGCGGCAGCCATGGGTGCTCAGTTCACAACATCTCACGTCGGTTGACGCGGCAGCCATGGGTGCTCAGTTCACAACACCTCACGTCGGCTGACGCGGCAGCCATGGGTTCTCAGTTCACAACACCTCACTCGGCTGACGCGGCTGCCGTGGGTGCTCAGTTCACAACACCTCACGTCGGCTGACGCGGCTGCCATGGGTGCTCAGTTCACAACACTTCACGTCGGTTGACGCGGCTGCCGTGGGTGCTCAGTTCACAACATCTCACGTCGGCTGACACGGCTGCCGTGGGTGCTCAGTTCACAACACCTCACGTCGGCTGACGCGGCTGCCATGGGTGCTCAGTTCACAACACCTCACGTCGGCTGACGCGGCTGCCGTGGGTGCTCAGTTCACAACATCTCACGTCGGCTGACGCGGCTGCCGTGGGTGCTCAGTTCACAACACCTCACGTCGGCTGACGCGGCTGCCGTGGGTGCCCAGTTCACAACATCTCACGTCGGCTGACGCGGCTGCCGTGGGTGCTCAGTTCACAACACCTCACGTCGGCTGACGCGGCTGCCGTGGGTGCCCAGTTCACAACATCTCACGTCGGTTGACGCGACAAGATCAACCAAATACGGTCGCTTGCGGCTCGAATCGGTACACTTAAAGTAAAATTTACGACGCAAAACAATGCGGCTATGGTTGGCGGTGCGATCTGGAAATGGTGTAAGCTTTTACGCCATTTTCAGATCGCGCCGTGCGGCCTTGTGGGCCGGAAACACGCTGGCTTTCCTTGAGATGCTGATGCGTGACACTGGTGGATGGGAAGAGTCGAAGGAAGCATACATCATGTACAGTATAAGGCCTAACGGGAAACATATATCTACCGTGTTTGTGCGGTACCGATGTACGGTCGTATATCACCGAACATTCATACCGCACAAATAAAAGTGCGTGAGTTACGGTTTCGCGTCATGGAGCTTGCTCGAAGTCTTCGAAACGAAATCATGCTCGGTTTAATCATAACGGATCAGGTGAACTCGGGTCAGGCATATGAAAAACAGTCAAGTAATGTTCATGCTAGGCCATTGTAGGGCTAGTGCTAATTATGTGGTGCATGCAAAGTGTATGCATGTATATAAGGTCTCTCCCAACATGCACCATCATGATCACATGCCGTGAGGTGCTGAATACTTTTTCACTGAGGATTCAGGTGGTGCAGCTTAATCGCCGTATGCAGATTTGGCAAGCCTCAGAAGTAGTGTTTTGCAATGTCATCTGAGTTCAAAGTGGCACGAGTCTTGTACTCGGCAAGATGCCTCTTCATAAACAAAATTGAAGGAGATGATGAATTATTTATGCATGTCTGGGGTCAATTATTTATTGACGAGTTATGTATTGCGTTGCGCATTGTCGGAGCGTTAGGGAACGCGGGGGAGGTAACGAGCAATGATTACGGGAGAAGCGTTTTTGCGATGAGTTTTGCCACAATCAAGATTAAAAAACATTGACTGATGGGTACTTTACGGCTACCGAAAACAAAGAGTCCGCCGCCTAGTCGCGGATCGCCTTGTAATATCACAGAATCATGACGCTTATATGGCAAATTATTTTGAGAGCTCTCTTAAATCGCTAAAACTTATAAAACGTAGATACGAGTATTCAACCACCCCCGGTGCCCACTTGTTAATTGCAGCATTCTCGTTTGTCTTCACGACGTGCTGAGCAGCTTTCGAACTCATACACGTGGGCCCCTCAAGTAGGCTTGCGACACCTTGGGCTGCGATTGCCCGCGGTTAGCATTATCTCTGCATGCCCTCACGAGACTCCGTGCTCGCTGCGTCGACCAGATCAGATCACCAGTGCACCACCCAGTGGCGCGGCGCCGGGCGGAACGCCCCCGGCCTTTCCAGGGGCGTGGCTGCCGTTGGCCAAGGGAACTCTGGCCCGGTGACCCCGCCCGCGACTGATGTTGGCCGAGATGGACTTCACACTTTTACCCATTTGTTTCCTCTGATGGCTGAGATAGACCCTAGCTGCTGGTGACCGTTGTTGGCTGAGGAGACCTTGTCACTAATGGCGGCTGTGTGCTCGGTTGCAGTGCTGCCGGAGCCGAGTCTCCAGCCGCCGCCGCTGACCAGCCTTGCCTCCGGCCCGTCCGAGTACACCCCGCCCGGGTACCGCTCCGACACGGAGTACACGCCGCCGCCGGGGGTACCGCTCGGACCCGGAAGCGCCGGAGCCGGCCGTCTGCGGCGCCGGCTCGCCGCCCCGCTCCGGCGGCTACGCGCTGCTGGGGCGCGGCGCCGCCGGCTGCGGCGCGCCCACGCCGCCACACGCGGACGCCTACTCGGCGCTGCTGGGGCGCGCCGCCGACGGCGTGGCGGCGCCCTCCCCGCCGCGGTCGGACGGCTACCTGCCGCTGGGGCGCCCGCAGCCCGGCTGCGACTCGTCGCCGCCTCGCGCCGACGGCTACCCGCCGCTGGCGCGCTCGGAAGCCGGGTACCAGCCGGCGGCGTTCGTGGCGTCGGCGGCGGCGGGGCCGGCGGCGACGTACCTCAGCACGCCGCTGGCGCTGTACCCGTCGCTGTTCCCGAGCCAGGGGCCGGCGGAGGAGCGCCAGAGCGAGCAGTTCAGCGGTCTGTCCGACTGGTTGACCCCGCACCATCACCAGCAGCAGCAGCAGCAGGAACAGCAGCAGCAGCAGCAGCAGCAGCAGGAGATGGAGGAGCGCTTCCAGAGCAGGCCTGGCGCCGGAGACGCGTCAATCTGGCGGCCCTGCTGACCGCCAGTCTCACCGACCGCCGTGGCCTGACCTGGTGTCGGGTCGCCACGTCGCTTTCGCCTGAGCGCGCGGGTCGGTGCCGCGCTCCGCACCCCGCAGCCTTATGGTGCTGCGACTGAGGGCCGACTGAACAGTTGGTTGTTCACACAAGAACGTGGTGGTTAGATTTATGAAGATGAGCCCGAGTGCTGCCAGTGAACCATGTGGTCCAGTGCATGGGAGTGTGCTGGGTCGAACAGCATCAGCGGGGGCCGCGTGTGTTTTTGGTGCGGTCGGCTCCGCCCTGAAGGCTGAGTGAACGTCACTGGATGTACCGCTGCTTCAGCCACTGAGTGTGCTCTTCAGCTGTCTCTTTTGATATGTCGTGGTTGACGTAAGGCGATGTGTGTTTGTTCGCGTGTGCGTGGGTGCGCGCGCACGTGTTTCGGGTGTCCAAACGACGACGACGACACTTTTTTTGGTCGTATCGCGCGTCGGATTCGGGATTTCGTGAGGCAAGGAGGCAGTACGCTGTCTATGGTTTGACGAGACCGACTTACAGATGCAACGGCTAGGATCTGAACCGCTATTGGTTAAGCTTGGTGGTGACCGTTCATGGTTGTTGATCAAGATGGTCCAAAGACTGACCCGTTGGTTGTAGTCGTGTTAGCTTCACAATTGAATGGTACACTGAAGTTCCAGTGTTGTATTTATTCGCATTGAAAGACAATATGTTTATTGCGCTTTTCATTTTCTCGCCCATATTTGTTCATAATACACAACGATATCCGACACATTCCGCGTTTCCGTGGAAAAGCCGGTCACTTTCGCTCACCTCTTGGTGGTATTTGATTTGCGACTATCACAAATAGCATTTGTGATGGTCAGTTTCCTCTTCGGCGGCAGATGGTCTGATGGACAAACCATATTGGTAGGGTTTTAAACCACCACCCTGGCCGTGACCCCAACCGTGATCTCTCTATCACGCCTCGTGATGTGACACTGAGCTGACGCCCGACCAGTCTGATACGTCCGTGTGTCTGACGTCAGGCGGTGTGACGTCACACGCGGCGCGTCATGACGTCACGGCCATCTGCCGCGCGGCACGCTCCGCCGTGGGCGCGGCGGCCGTTCGGTCGACCGTTTGCGGCCGGTGGACGGCGTTAATCACGTCTGGGAGCGGGACAATGGTGGGACCAGGCGGCCGCGCCGCTGGCTGCGTCGCGCCCGACCGCCGACGCGGCGCCGCGCCGGGATGGCCTCGTCCCGGCGCCCGTGCCGCTGACGGCGGCGCCACCGGGCCGCGCCGAGCGCGGCCGACTGCCGCCGCTTGGGATGGAGCGCTGTGAGAAGAGCCGCCGGCGCCGCAGACGGCCCGGCTGGGAGCGGGCCTGGCACTGAGGGTGTGATTACCGAGTCGCCGCGTGCGGGTCCGAGTGGTGCACTCAGCTGGTCCGAGTGGTGCGCTCAGGTGGTCCGAGTGGTGCGCTCAGGTGGTCCGAGTGGTGCGCCCAGCTGGTCCGAGTGGTGCGCTCAGCTGGTCCGAGTGGTGCGCTCAGCTGTTCCGAGTGGTGCGCTCAGGTGGTCCGAGTGATGCGCATAGGTGGTCCGAGTGATGCGCACAGGTGGTGCGAGTGGTGCGCTCAGCTGGTCCGAGTGATGCGCATAGGTGGTCCGAGTGGTGCGCTCAGGTGGTCCGAGTGATGCGCTCAGGTGGTCCAAGTGGTGCGCTCAGGTGGTCCGAGTGGTGCGCTCAAGTCGTCCGAGGGGCGCGCTCAGGTGGCCCAAGTGGTGCGCTCAGGTGGTCCCGAGTGGCGCGTTCAGGTGGTCCCGAGTGACGCGCTCAGGTGGTTCGAGTGATGCGTTCAGGTGGTCCCGAGTGACGCGCTCAGGTGGTTCGAGTGATGCGCTCAGGTAGTCCGAGTGATGCGCTCAGGTGCTGCCGTGTTGGCTTTGGAGCACGCCGCACAGAGAAAGCAGTGCAGGTGGTCCGAGTGACGCGCTCAGGTGGCTCGAGTGATGCGCTCAGGTGCTGCCGTGTTGGCTTTGGAGCGCGCGGCACAGAGAAAGCAGTGCACGGCGAGATGGTTCAGGAAGCAAATGTTGTGGAGCTCACGTTGCTGAGTAAATGAACTTTCCCATGTAGCATCAGAATGGTGACGGCATGGACAAATCATTTAAAGTAAAACTCAAGCATTAGAAAATATAGTCCTTCATTTCAGTAGTCGTTAAATGCATGCACCGGTATCGCCATAGCTGATGCTTATTAACTACTGAAGGGAATTTCAGGCAATGCCAGTAATACAAAGAAATTTCACTGTATGCTTTCTCAACCCTGACAAATGATTGAAACTCATCACTTAAGGACATTGGTTACGATAGTTAATTCACTGGCCGCATGTCTATTACATACAAATCACCGCAGTGCGTTGCTATCACCCACCCCTTGCGTTTGCGCGTGTGCTATATATTCATGCACGAACAGTCCAGACTGCTACTAAAACATTAAGGTATCGCAGTCTGGCTTTCGGGTACACCAGCACGTCGTTGAAGCATGCAGGGTCAGACCGCCTCGATGGTTACCTCAAGCGAGCCAAGAGGTGCGGATAACATATCGCCCAGTAAAACAAACGGTGCGTCGACAGTCGTGCCGCAACGTGGGAACGTTCTTGAGCAATTGTAACCACCAATAGTTCCACCTCCGACATCAATTCTGAATGGGTAAATGAGGGGTAATAAAGCCGCCCATTATAACTAGGCCACAGAATTCTGTATCATGATGACAAAAATAGACTCATTGCTGAATTAATTGTTATCTATGTGATGCTTTGCATGAATGACGTGCGAAGCAATGTGGGCTTTGTCCCTGGATAGTTCTGTCATTAAAATCGTACGCTGGCTGCTTTATAATCTGCTGATTCATGGAGCGGCACTCATCATGCCAGTAGGTTTGAAGAAAACCGAGCATCTTTGATAAGTCTTCTGACCCGTGATATGTCCGTTAGATATGTTGTTGTTCCATACCACACGTGCCATAGATTTGTGGTATGGGATATTGCAACACTAAGCATGCTCTGCATGGCTCTTGGTGAAGTGAAATGTGGGTGGTAATTGGCGAAAGCAATGAGGACCTCATAATGCCTCCATCGTTATCACAGCACCACTGTCAAGCGCCAGCAATGGTGACAGACCAGCACTGTGCGGCTACGCGACACAGTGTTCAGAATGTTCGTCTGTCCAACGTTTCTCTTTCCATCTATCCTGACAGCCTCATGTTCAATGTCGCTGCGCAGAGCGGGAGTGCCGGCACCGTAAACGGACTCTCGAACGGATGCGGCAGTGTTTCCCTGCTACGTGAAATTTATGGGCAGTGGCAAAGGCATTGGGCAGCGCTCTAATCGGTTTGCTACCGCCACTACTTTCAGTCGTACCAGTATGGAGTTTGATATTGATCATGTGGAAGTGGCGTTTTGGAGATGTTTTCCCGCCTCACGGTCATGGTGTCGCGCGGCCAAACTATCCTGTCCCGGCGGCCGTATGCGGATGCCGTCAGCGAGCTGGGCGCCGTGGCCCGCTCTGCGGTGACAGGAGCCGCTTTGGTCGGCGCTGTGCCGGGGGTCAGGACCAGGTCGAGACCGGTGTCAAAGGTCAACAACCTTCAAAACCGACTGACACGGCGCCGACGAACGTCAAGTCGACTGGAAATTCGTGGTAAAGGTGAACTCAAATGTCGGCTGCCCTCAGATGCCAGAACTGACACCGAACGCTGACGTGCAAATGCGTCCGCACACATGGCGACAGATATATGTTGAAAGCATTGAATGCACTCCAGTCCTCTCCCAAACTCTCTCAACGCCAAGGCTGCCTTTGGTGCAGTCACTAATTACTAGGACGGCTTGCAGAGCACTCCTATAGCACCTTAGGCTGTAGCGCTCATATGCACAATAGATAACGTCAGGACATTTCGCAGGGTGTTCAATGGTTATCGCTAACTATGGCTGCCCATCTGTTCATCCTCTAATTCGGAAGCTCGCCCCGACACTTGAGCATGCGGAGGTGTGGGGCTGTTTGCTGACCCGCGGTAATGACACTGCTGCGGTTTAGCCTGGGAGCAGACAGTAAACAAAGCCCCCGACAAAGCACCGCAGCGTCTATTGTCGGCAAAATTAGTGGTGACGTTCAAATTTGAAGCATGCAGCGGACAAAGATTTGTCCCGTGAAATCAAAGTTATACATGATCTGATTCAAATTTGCCTCGAAATGCTTCTTTTACGCTACCTCCGCCCAGATTTTGTGTACTGATCTAATCTCTTAGCTCTTGCTTGCTAGATCTAAAGGAACGCAATACCGCCCTAGCCGAAGCGTTTATGCTGAGGCCGGTCAGACCTATGGCTCGGCCTCAGAGAATGAATCCTGGCTTTTGAATGCGAGCATTAGTTGCTGTTCGAGAGCGGAAGACTCTGCCCTGCTCCACCTGCGGCCGCTCTGTGCTCTGACCTGCCCCACCTGCGGCCGCTTTGTGCTCTGCCCTGCCCCACCTGCGGCCGCTCTGTGCTCTGACCTGCTCCACCTGCGGCCGCTCTGTGCTCTGACCCGCTTCACCCACGGCCGCTCTGTGCTCTGACCTACTCCACCTGCGGCCGCTCTGTGCTCTGACCTGCTCCACCTGCGGCCGCTCTGTGCTCTGACCTGCTCCACCTGCGGCCGCTCTGTGCTCTGACCCGCTTCACCCCGGCCGCTCTGTGGTCTGACCTGCTCCACCTGCGGCATCCCTGTGTTCTCTCGTTGCCCTACCCACCCGGAGAGCGGAAGGCTCCACCTGCTCCACCTGCGGCCGCTCTGTGTTCGCTCGTTGCCCCACCCACGTAGGCATGGTGATGCAGAATTCCATAGGTGATCGGAGATATCGCTACCATTGTTAACAACTTTTTGCGGGTTTCGATCATTGAAAACCGATCGCTGAGGATTATGACAGGCTGGCCATCTCACTGGTGGGTGACGGCTTTCTTATTGCAAGCATTGTGTTCCTAGCCAAAGCTCAATATGTTGTCTCCGTTATCCTCTCACTAAACTCATCAGGTCCGCCGGCCCCGGCAGACGTTTGGTCACATATTAGTGGATGTTGTCCTGTCAGACCGGACAAGACCAGCTACTTTGGACTTTCCGAGTTTACTTCTGACGGCATTTCTATGAATTCAGCCAACTTAATCCCGCGAGCCTGCACGCCGTGGGCGGGACCCCGCATCTCTTTAGAAGGCATTGGCACCCTAGTATCTTCCGTCTCCGTCCCTCCATACTTGGCCGAAGTAGCAAAACAGAAAAGTAAACACACACTTTGCAGGCTTAAAATGCGTCGATTTTTCAGGTGATCTTGGTCATTGACGCCCATTGAATGTCATGTGACTCGGCTTATCGCGCATGTTCAATCCTTACATTGTTTCACCCGCTGCTATTGGCATTCAGATATTAACGCACTTTGTGAAAAAGTCATTCAAGTTCATGAAGCCTTGATCATTGAACCCCTAGAAACGTTTCTCTTATCGTTTTATAGGATCGCTGTGCGTCGGAACGAATGGCAGCACAAAGCACAAAGTGGACGACAGATAACGTTTATTGGGCATGTGATACTGTGCGAAACTGAAACACACGAAAGCTGTACTGTTCCCCCCTTCCTATTTTTGGCCATATTTCTTAAGGAGCTCCGAAGGTCAAGAAGGAATGACTGAGTTCTGCCCATGCCATAAACGCAAGAACTGGAACAGCGTTGCACACATGCATTCTCACAGCGAATCGCCATCTAACGGACGACAGTGCGGCACAGATCCGGCGTCCAGATCCAGCACAGATCCAGCGAGTTGCACGTGCTCCAGCATGGAACGGGAGCGTCGGTCAGCCGGCACCCGCAGTCCCAGGTGTTGCCGCACCGAGCAAGTGGGGCGGAAACAATGGGTGTGGCGCAACGGCCGTCGTGTCGCGCGTGTGTGTGCTTTCCATGGACCGATGGCGGGCTCGCCACGCCCTGGGCTGGTGACGTCATCTGGACGGCTCGGGGGCGCCGGCGCCGAAACTGGGTGAGTTTTAGAGGCTGGACTGCACTCCGACCCTGAGGAGCTTCAGCCGAGGGCGGAGCATGCACAAAGTCCAGTCAGAGGGCGTCATACTTACCGGTCCCGTGTGACTAGTTGTCTAATGCGGCTGCTGGGGCTGCTCGCCGGCCGTCCACTCGTAGAGAAATGACGGGTTCATTCGATTTCCGCCCATTGGCGCGAGACTTACGTTAGCCTTATTTGTGTGTGGTGAGCTGTGAGTGACGTCCAAACGGGCGCAACGCGGACCGCTGAGATATTTCAATATACCGGGTTGATTTTATTGTTCGGGGACTTAACAGACCGCCGGGGCGCTCACTCTCCACTGACATCTCAACGCTTTCCAAGTATTGTCAGTGATACACTTGAGAGAGAAAGGTGAAGTGAAAACAGATTTTGTAATGTCTCGTGTGTGGTGAATCTTAATGGCACATTATTATAATGTAATTTGGTGCCCATGTACGACATCATAGCATGGCATCATACGCTGGCATTATAACATATAAAGCATTATAGGAGCACGGGAACCGTTTTTCTTTCGGTGACGGATAAAAGGGCACATAGTATAAATACAATTCTCATTTATGGTTGGTGCTCTCAATGTGTCCAGGGATGGCAGCAAACGTTAATCGCTGTTAAAAATCGCACATGCATTAAAGCTTCAGATTGCAAACAGCGCACTGGTTATGATCAGGTGTTAAAACACAAGTCATTGGGTACACTTGGTTTCATTATTTCAATGTCAACAAAGTTACGATGATCGATACTACGACG